TAGCAGGTTGTGTTTGTTCTAAAAGAGAACAAGACATTTCTATTCTTGCTGATTTGGATGAAGACATTTCTTGATTTTCTTCATCTCTTTCCCTTAGATTAAAAAAAAAAGAGAGAGAGAACAAAACCAAAAGATTAACACAGCTACATAATTTTTTAAATTTGACACTACTCACCAGTCACTCCATTTAATTCACAATGTAATCCTGATTTTATTAACAATAGCACTAGGAATCAACAAATAAGAATTTGAAAATAGTACCAAATTCACATACATTCTGTTTTGATAGGAATTACAGGCCCTATAAATTATCCACCCTAAAGCAATGGAGAATTCTATCTTCTTTGCTGAAGTAGAATCAGACGTTATATCAAAGTTAAAGAAAAGGGAGATAAATACACAAAGGACCTACTGCCAGGAGATCACAGCTTAATTTATAATGTAGGGAACTTGTGGGCAGGGAAAAATTAAATTGGGTATATAATCCTATGAGTTAATGGGAGGTGTATTCAAAATAATAAACAAGAGTGGCTAAATCTAGAACATGGCATAAACTGTATACTGCATATACTATGTGAATCTATCACTGAGAGTATTCTATACAATACTGTATTACTCACTCAATAAATACTGAAAACTTTGTGCATGCAAATTGTATTGAAGTCCACAGAAGACACAGACTTGAGTATCTACTATCTAGAAGCTTAATGAATTTATAGTGTATTAAAGAGTTAAAGGTGATGTACTATTAACAGTAATGTAAGGATACTGGGCACACAGATTATTCAAGAGGTTTTTGTAGTAATTTAGGTGATCAGGGTTTGAAGGAGGGAGCTGACAACACAAACAGATGGCAAAGGAAGGACTGATAAGCCACTGAAAATAAGGATCAACAATATTCATTTGGGAAGACAGGAGAAATATCAAAGATTATATAATAAGGTAAAATTTGATTTACCTTGTGAGAGAGATTATCAAGGGAAAAAAAAGCAAAAAAGGTGATTTTGGAATGCAGGTGTGAGTAAACTCTTCTTCAAAAGAAGTGCAGCAAACAAAACAGCAGATAAGCTAAGGTACAGAAGAAGAAGGATGAAGAAGAATCTGTCTAATGGTCTTAATAAAGGAGGAAATTAGGGCACTTCTTAGAGTGAAGGAGCTAGGGGGCCAGAGATTTCCAAAGGAGCACACTAGAGCATAACAGACTCAAATACTCTACTACAGTAAAATAAAAAATGCTAATTTTTTTCAGAGGCAAAAGAAAAAAATTGTTATTAAAAATATACCTTTTTTTGGCACATGGTTGAAAGTAGTTTTTGATGGAGTTTGTCTGCTGCTGTTGAGAAGACCGATCTCTACTTTTATTTACACCTAGGAATTTGGTTGGTGAAAGCTGATAGTTTGGGACTTTTGTCCTAACCAAAGTATTTAATACTATATTGTTATTATTGGAGCTTGTTTTGGAAGGTTCCTGTACAGTGAATGTTTCTTGTGAAAGCATTCTGACTTCTTGTTCCATCTTGGAGATACTTATTTCTTTTGGTCTTTCATTCAAAAACATACTGTAGAAAAACAAAAGAACAGAAGGTAAAGTTCACAGCAACTTTTATGTAGAAACAAAGATCTTTAAATAGTTCTACTGTAATATAACTTTATAAGATTATATTTAGATAATAATTTGGGCAATATATTATCCCAAGAAAATAGCTCCTCTGTCATCTAAGTGCCTTGAAAAAGGTTGGTATCTTACTCTTCTTCATCCTCTATAATACATATGTAGAGGCATGTTCTACCAAAACGACTGTCAAGTAAACAAGGAATATCAACCTAGTATCCTATTATAAATGAAACTAGTTGATAATACCAGGTGATTTTTATTTTGTTGAGAAATGTTTTTTTAGTATTTTTATGTAAAAGTACCTTCATAAAAACTGGAAAATTATAATAAACTCCTATTATTATAGTGTCACATATAATAGGGTATTTAGATCACTTTAGATGAACTGATATGATTCTATCCAACCTTTAAAAAGTTAAATCTGGACACAACATAAAACATGAGGGTAGTAAAAACTAAAATAAATACGATCTAATATAATGATATCATTAAGTACATTAATATAAATACTTCAATATGGAATATTTGAAATACACCATTGTAAATGAAAAATAGTATAGAATACAAAATAGCTAATCCCATCCATTAAAAAATAAAACCAAACCTACAATCCCTCTTCAAATAACCACTGACATGGACAAATATTAATAACTTCATGGACAAATATTAACTATACAGATAGTTAGCAGACCCTATCAAGTATCTAAAAAATTTAAAATAATATTTAACTATATGAAATCATAATACAAGACAGATATACACATGGTACCATCCCCATCTTTTTAGGGGATACATTTCAAGACATTTCTATAAATGCATGAAACCAATGGTAGTACCAAACTATATAAACATTTTTCCTATACATATACAACTAAGATAATTTACTTTATAAATTAGATAAAGAGACTAAATAAAAACTAGTAATATAATTTATGACAGCAGACTATGATAAAAGTTACACAAATAGAGTGTCTCTCAAAATACTGTACTGTACTCAGCTTTCTTGTGATGTGAGATGAATAATGTTCATGTGATGAGATGAAGTAAAAGATGAATAATGTAGGCATTGTGACGAAGAGTGAGGATACTATGTAAGGATTACTTAAACAGAAGTACTGCAATACCAAGACAGTCAGTTTGATAACCATTATGATTACCAGTGACCAACAAACAGATGGGTAGCATATTGAGTGTGAATTTCCTAAACAAAGGGATGATTCACATCCTGGGTAGAATGGCAAAAGATTTCATCATGCTATTCAGATACGAGTACAATTTAAAACTTTCGAATTATTTATTTCAGGAGTTTTCCATTTAATACATTTGGACCACAGTTTACCACAAGTAACTAAAATTGCAGCAAGTGAAACTGCAGATAAGTGGAGACTACCAAGTTTCAAACTTATTTCACCAGTCACAAATGAAGTACTATAATTCTTTTAGTTTTCCATGTATGTTTGTAAGGTATGAAACAAATTATCCTATGACAGCAATTAACAAATTACAGCCCATAGGCCAAATCAGGTCTGTTATTTCTTTTTCTGAATGAAGTTTTATTGGAACACAGTCACATTCAATTATATGCTGGCTGTCTCTAACTTCTTTCATGCCACAATGGCAGAGTTAAGCAGGAGGAAATGATTAACATTAAACAGAGACATGAGGTGGGAGGGAAAGGGAGAGAAAAGGGAAATTGCTTGGAAATGGAAGGAGACCCTCATTGTTATACAAAATTACATATAAGAGGTTGTGAGGGGTGGGAAAATAAACAAGGAGAGAAATGAATTAGAAGGGGTAGAGAGAGAATATGGGAGGGGAGGGGAGGGGGGATAGTAGAGGATAGGAAAGGTAGCAGAATACAACAGTTACTAATATGGCATTATGTAAAAATGTGGATGTGTAACCGATGTGATTCTGCAATTTGTATTTGGGATAAAAATGGGAGTTCATAACCCACTTGAATCTAATGTATGAAATATGATATGTCAGGAGCTTTGTAATGTTTTGAACAACCAATAAAAAATAAATAAATAAATAGCTATAATAGAAATCAGTGGCTCACACTGCCATATTTACTGCTGATCCTTTACAGAAAATTTGTTGATTCCTGTCCTAAGGTATGATTTTTCCTGGCATCTCATACTCCCAGACTTTAACTCCTAAGAGATGACTTGCTAAAGACACTGACTTGACTTCTTGAATATTCTATTAACTTATTCATAAAATAGCAATAATTTTTAACAAAGAAGCTTTACCATGTATCTGCTTGCTCTGATTCTGTGTCAGCTACATATGCTGTAGTATTCACTGAAGCCACTGGAATTAGTTTTTTATTGACTGACAAACCTTGTGAAAGGCTGGGTCCCGGAGTCGTTGTCTTTAATCCTATAAATCATAAAAGTGGAAAGAAAAATATCACAATTATTAGACAGGAGATGGACATTTGATCATTTAAAATTGTTAAAACTGTGCCATGCTGAGAGGATTAATTAGGTAATATTGCACCTGATTGTTTCTAGTCAGTGCTCCCAATCATCTCACACTATCATTTCTCCAAACTTCAAACATGAAAACACAAGCCCTTTGTACTGCAGTGTAATAATGTCTTAACAGCTTTGACCTAAGAGTCAATTTGAATTAATTACTTGCTATATGACCACTGGCTAATTTCTTAAACTCTCTGTACATTAGTTCCCTCATCTATAAAATGCATATGATATTCTCTTTCTTCACAGGATTATTTTGCAAATTAAACTGTAGCAATGCATGTAAAATGGTAACTTTGGTATCTGCACCTCAAAAGACAGCAGTTATTATTACTACTAGTAATTATTAATGACCTACACATCTAATTAATTCCTGGTCATTAGGCCCTAAATGGTTCACATCTTCCAAAATGTAGCTTAACACATTCCTTATCCATTTAAATTAAAATTGTCGAGCACTCAGAAGGTACATGGCCCAACTGCATAGGTGCCATTGGATGGACTACAGTGTAAATGATACTCCTACCCCCACGTAGCAAATAATGATATGATACTGTTCTCTAACTTGTCTATTAGCCAAAGACCAATAACTGTTCATGAAATAAGTATAGAAAGAAACCAGAAAGCAAATAAATGTGCACAAGAATATAGACTGAATGCTTTGGTAGCTAGGCAAAGAAGAGGCAGTGATTAGAGAGAAAAAATGAAAATATTTCTAAGGTAAAAAAAGCAAGAAAACAATAGAGGAATAATCTTTATAATGGCAGTATCAATTTATTTATAAAAAAAGAGATAAAAGGTAGAGGAATATACACTCATCCTTAATTATCCACAGATGATTGGCTCTAGCACTCTCCACTCACCCCCACCCATGTATACTAAAATCCAAAATACTCAAGTCTTATATAAAATGGTATAGTACTGCATAAAACCTATACACAACTTCCTGTATACTATAAATTAACTCCTGAGGGCTGTGACTGTGGCTCAGTGGCAGAGCGCTCGCTTAGCACGTGTGAAGTGCTAGGTTCAATCCTCAGTACCACATAAAAAAATCAATAAAATATTGATTTTAAAGTATTGGGTCCAAGTACAACTAAAAAAAATATTTTAAAAAGTATGTACATGATCAGTATAGATAAAATAGATACAATATTTTTGTTTCCCAAATATTTTTGACTGAGGAATTTTTGTTAGAATTCTCAAATGTACAACCTGGGTAAACAGAGGGCTGAATATAATAAAGGAATAACAATGATCATCTCTGAGTACCTTCACAATAGCCACAATAGCTTTCTACTGATAACCTCACTTCTATTTTGGACCCTTGTAATCCATTTTCCACACCAGAGTGATCTGTTCCTTCTGCGAGGGATTCTATGCCAGATTCACACATAGTTGCCTTTTCTCGTCAATCAGGATGCATGAAGCTCAAATGTCACGTCTTCAATGAGATCTTCTCTGACTACCTCTCTAAAACCTGTTTCCAGTCACTATCACATCACCTTGTTTTGCCTTCCTCTTTGTACATGGCCCTATCTGAAATCATGTGTGTGTGTTTTTCTGCTTGTTCACTATTTGAATCTTGACCTTTAGAGTAAAAAGTTCACAGGAATAATGCTGTTCTTTACTTTATTCACAACTAGAATCTTCAACATCTTAGAACAGTGATTAATACACGGCAGAAATACTTATTGAATGAATAAACAAATGAATACACTGTTGAGTTTTAAAGGAAAGTGAATACAGTCATACCTGGCAGGTATAATTCTAAAGTGCATATAATCTATCGTCAATGTACATAATAATGTTGCTAAGAAATCAATAAGATAATGCTTTACTTACCTGTATTGGGTTGGCCCTGAGGATCACAGTAATTTTCTGTAGTCATGAAAATAACTGCCAATCCAATTTCTGCTTCAGGAATAGGTCTAAGACCTTGCCTATTAGGAAAAAAAAAATAGTTTAAGCATAACAATATATTAAAACAACTTTTATTGAAATGGTGTCAAACTGAATCAACTTTTTTATCCTCCCAAAGTCATATCAGAATTTTATGGTATGAACAGAATTTTATGGTATGAACAGAATTTTATGGTGTGAAAATACATAGGGCACTAGCTTACTCACAGGGAAACATTATTAGGGCAGGTCCATCACCTGTTAGTAACTCAGTTAATTTTGCTTGTAAAATAAGGAGCTAGAGGAAAGAATACATATCTTAATAGTTCTAAAATTCAATAATTTTCAGAATAAAAAGAGTAATACGCAGATGAAATAACAACATGAACTTTTAAAAACAAATTTATGATTACTATGATTCTAAGATAAAACTTAATAGAGAAGAAGAGAAGGAGGGAGAGAAGCACAAATAACTATGTGTAAGTTACATCTATACATGTGTAGAAGTTTAATAAGTTAAGTCATTTTATCAAATTTACATATATTAAGGTATCTTAATAAAGGAATCTTCTGACGAATTTATTTTCTTTTGTTCTGTAATATGAATGACTGATTTTATAAAACAAGGAATATTCAATAAAATTTTTCAAAAATATTTATTTTTAGTTGTAGGTGGACACAATACCTTTATTTTATTTCTTTATATGTGGAGCTAAGGATTGAACCCAGAACCTTACACATGCTAGGCGAGCACTCTAACGGCTGAGTCATAACCCAGCCCTATTCAATAAAATTTAAAACTGTACCTAAAATTTTAACAAAAAGCTACATGTCTTTTAAAAAGCTAATGTCTTTTAATACTCATTGTAAAGACATTTTATATGGCTGTATTAGTTTAAAATACGTAACATGTTTTTTTGTGTGTACTGATTCAATTATATGTGTAATCATACAATTATATGTGTAATCATAACAATACTACACTAAAAAAACCAAGATTTTAAAAAGCATCATAGCCTGGCTGGGCATGGTGGTGCACTCCTGTAATCCAGTGGCTTGGAAGGCAGGAGGATTCAAAGCCACCCTCAGCAACGACAAGGTGCTAAGCAACTCAGTGAGACCTTGTCTCTAGATAAAATTCAAAATAGAGCTGGGGATATGGCTCAGAAGTTGAATGCCCCTGAGTTCAATCCCCAGCAACCCTTCCCCACAAAAAAGCACCATAGCCTGGAACAGTGGCACACAACTGTAGTATCAGAAACATGGGAGGCTAAGGCAGGAGGATACCAAGTTGAAGGCTACCCAAAGCAACTTAGCGAGAGTCTGTTTCAAAACAAAAATAAAAAGGACTAGGGATGTAGCTCAGTGGTAAAGGTTCCCTGGGTTCAATCCTCTGTACCAAAAATAAATAAATTAAAAAATTTCAAATCAAAATATCAAAATACTAGTAAAAAACATATAGATATCTTTTTGATCTATGAATAGATGTTATGTACAAAATAAAAAGAGTGCTGACTATAAAAAGATATTAATTTTTACTATATTAAAATTAGATGTCTTTTCTTTTTCATCCCACTGCAAAAGGTAAGTTATAAAGTGGTAACAGATTTTGCAATGCACATAAGTGAAAAAAAAGAAATATAACATCAAGAAAATAGAAAAACTTGCTATAAATCAAAAAGCACACACAAATATATAATTACTGTATAGTACAGTAATTGGTATCCATGTACATTTATCCCTGAGAAATAAATACTTGTTCACATGGAAACCTGTATATGTTAATTGAAGTTTTATTGTAACAATAACTATGCACAGGGCAAACTTCCTTCAATGGTGAATGATTCAAACTATGGTATTCACACCATGGAATACTACTTAGCAATAAACAAGTATTAACTATTGATACAACTTAGGTGAATCTGAGGATTTTTGCTGAGTGAAAAAAAGCCAATCCCAAAAGATTACATGCTCTTGGTTTTCATTTAAATACATTTTATTTAAAAGACATTTTATTTATTTAAAAGTGTTATACAAGGCCCTGAGTTGGAGCCTCAGCACCACATAAAAATAAATAAATACAATAAAGATATTATGTCCAACTACAATTAAAAAATAAATATTAAAAGAAAAAAGAAAAGCAAAGTGTTAGAAACAAGCCAGGCACAGTGGTGCATGCCTATAATTCTAGAGTCTTGGGAGGCCAAGGAAGGAGGATTGCAAGTTCAAAGCCAGTCTCAGTAAAAGTGAAGCACTAAGCAATTCAGACTCTGTTTCTAAATAATATATAAAAAATAGGACTGGGGATGTGGCTCAGCAGTCGAGTGCCCGAGTTAATCCCTGGTAAACCCCTGCCCTGCAGTCAGAAAAAAAAAATGTTAGAAACAAAATAAATAAGTGGTGGGCAGGGTTTCAGGATGAGGAATGAATAGTGGGAAAGGAGATTTGGAGGTGGATATAGTCATAAAAAGACAACCTGAGGGATCTTGTGGTGATAAAACTTATTTTGTATGCTGACCCTGGTGATGAATATAGACATACATGTGATAAAATTATATAACTAAATATACACACACCAATGACTAAAACTGAGGAAAATAAAAATAGGAAAATATAAACCTAGGTATAAAGAATATTGGGTAAATTTGTAGTAAAAAGAACACAGGGCTGGGAGTATAGGTCAATGGTAGAGTGTTTGCCTAGCATTTTCAAAGCCCTAAACTTCACCTTCTGCACAAGAAGAAAAGGGAAGGGAAAAAACATGACTAACTGAAAACTGGACAAGAGACATAAACAGGTATTTCACAAAGGAAGAAAAACAAATGTTCTATAAATGTGTGAAGAATTAAGTATCATTGGTGATCAGAAGAACACAAATCAAAACCACAGTAAGCAATGATTATAAATCCATTCACCTGGTAAAAATGAAAACATGACAATACTAAGTATTGAGGTACTGGGGTGTGGATTAGAACAAGATATATTCCATGCTTATATAATTATGTTAAAATAAATTGAAGTGTCCTGCATAACTAAAAAAAACTATTTTAAAAGCCATAATAAAACTATACATTAAAAAAAGATGATATGCATCTAGAAGGATCTCTTCTATGTATCTCTTCTATTGTGGGTAGGAATGTAAAATGAAAAACAAAGTTCAGCATTCATATAATCCTGCAATTCTAGTCCTAGAAATGTGCATGTGCACATTGTATGTACACATAACACAGTTTTTTTTTTGGTACTAAGGATTGAACTCAGGGATGCTTAACCACGAGTCACATCCTCAGCTCTTTTTTATTTTGAGACAGGGTCTTGCAAAGTTGCTCAGTGCCCTGCTAGGTTGCTGAGGCTGATCTCAAACTTGTGATCCTTCTACCTCTGCCTCTAGAGTCACTAGGATTACAGACAGGAATGGGCCACCGTATCTGTTGACTAGAAATATTTTTTAAAATTTTATTCATTTGTTCTAATCAGTTATACATGAAAGTAGAATGCTCTTCAATTCATTGTACACAAATGCAGCACAATTTTTCATTTCTCTGGTTGTGCACAAAGTAGGGTCATACCATTCATGAAGTAGTACATGAACCTAGGGTACCTAAGGTTGCCCATCTCATTCCACCATCTTTCCTATTCCCATACCCCCTTCCCTTTGCCCAATCAAAAGTTCCTTCACTTATTCCATGCCCCTCCCCCCACATTATAAGATTAGCATCCACCTATCAGAAAACTAGAAATATTTCTAAAAGGAAATCTTGGGTCTATGGTAATGGGTAAGTGGCAGAGTGCTTGTCTAGCATGTGTAAAATTCCTGACAGGAATTTTACATTCCTGGGTTTGACCCTCAGTTCCATGTAAAAAAATAAACTAATAAAATTAAATTAAAAAAAAAAGAATCTGTACCAGTATCAATAGGGAAGGTACAAAAAATGATAATAGTGTTTAAAATTTTTAAAATCTGGAAACAAGGTTTCAAAACCAGATAACAAATCTGGGGGCTGAATAAATGAACTAATATATGCACAAAGTGAAACATATTCTACTATGGAAACAAATAATTTACAATATGTATCACAATACTTACAACATAACATTGAAACGAGAGAAAAAAGAAACAAAGATTACATGTAGCACAATAACCATTTTATAAAGTTAAATACAAGAGACACATACAAATCCATATTAGGAATACATTTTAAAAAACTATAAAACTACACAAAAGCAAGCAGGTAAATTGAGTGTGGTGGTATATGCCTGTAATCCTAGTAATTTAGGATGTTAAGGCAGGAGGATTGCAAGTCTGAAGGCAGCTTAACAATTTAGCAAGACGTTCTCAAAATAAAAAAAAACTAAAAAGTGCCCCTAGGCCAGAACCCTAATAACATGCACACATACACCCACTCCCAAAAAGTACAAGCAGATAAATGAAGATCCCAGGATTCAGAATGATCAAAGATCTAGCATGTATTATAGGTGGCACATTTAAAATATTTATTATAGTATTAAAAGTAACTAATTATATAATTATTAAATCAAAAGATTTTATACTGTGTGTGATTTGATGATGACAATGTATCATTTATAATTCATCCAATTTTGTGCAAGCCTAGGAAATAGATGAGGGAAGGAGATGATTTAAAAAAAAAATAAAGTAGTTACAGGCAGAGTTCCCAAATTTCATCTAAGGTTCTGGAAAAATACAGTACATTTTTGTTGTAGTAGTAGATTGGTGTAACTTTGTTACAAAATCTACTTTTACAGTAGTTAATACATCTTCATAAGTAAAATACTTACAGGACAGATAACTAAATTTTAACTTTTTATTTAGAAAAAAGCCAATTCCCATAATCAGAAGGACTTCTGGGAAAGGAAGCATGGGTCTTTTGGAGAACGCTGGCTGTGGACTTTTCATTTTGGGACTCAACTACTTTTTGCTAGTGAAAAGAAATTTAATCAACAGACTGCCAAGTCTGGTATTTCTATTAGTTTTTGGCTTCAACAATGCTAATATTATGATTAATAAAGAGTTTAAGGAAGTCAGGTGTGGTAGTATACACCTGTAATTCCACTTCATTGGGAGGCTGAGGCCAGCGTATCAAAAATCTAAGGCTAGGGCTGGGGATGTGGCTCAAGCGGTAGCGCGCTCGCCTGGCATGCGTGCGGCCCGGGTTCGATCCTCAGCACCACATACCAACAAAGATGTTGTGTCCGCCGAGAACTAAAAAAATAAAATAAATATTTTTTTAAAAAAATTCTCTCTCTCTCTCTCTTTCTCTCTCCTCTCCTCTCCTCTCTCACTCTCTCTTTAAAAAAAAAAAAAAATCTAAGGCTAGCCTGGGCAACTTAGTGAGATCCTATCTCAAAATAAAAAATAAACAGGGTTGGAGATGTGGCCGAATAGTGGAGTTAGGTTCAATTCTCAATACCACAAAAGAAAAAAAAGTGTATGGAAACAAACACTTGATTGTAGCTCTTTTATATTCTCCTTCCCCACTATAAACACCATTCTAAGGTATGTGACATTTTCCACCTACTTACCCATAAGAACTCATATAAGATGGATAGAAATTTCATATGCATTTTAATTGGTAATAAACATCAAGGGGCAAATACATTTCAGCTCCAATTTCAGAAAAAAAAATCACTTTCTGAATGTTCACTTTGTAACATATTCTACAGAAAAACTTAATATTACTTTATTAATTTAAAGAGAAGTTTCTACAAATTCTATAGTAAAAAAGGCAGACAATCCTGAGATCAAGTTGTTATGTACACAGATATTCTATTTCTAGCATATAAAGTCACAATCAGTTCTCATGTATATTACAGGTTACATCCTTTATAATAATTCTTCTATCTGTTAAAATGAAGTACAACAAGGAAAATTACATATAAAATCTCCTCCCTGCATTTTTTCTCTTAACTAATGAAGAATAATTCTGTACCTTTGGAGCATATCCATAATTGAATGGACCCATTTTTTCTGAGAATCAGGAATTAAGATCTGTGTATTCGTTATTCCTATATCGACAACACAAGTTCCAGGAGCTGAAAAGAAACTATCTTCTTCTTCATTTTCTTCTGTTATCAACCTAGCTTCTCCACCTCCAAAAATGACTGCTGAACTTAATTTCTTATGCT